AAAAAAATGCACTGAGATACAGCGCCAGGAAATCCCCTGTCTGGGTTTGTCACAAAAAGAGCAAATATTGTCCTTGCACGTGCCAGTTGCGGGGTGTAAAACGTGCAGTGCTCAGCAGCAGACAGTTGTCATCCCTTCAGCCCCTTCAGGGTGTTGCCTTGTAGCCAGTTTTAATTATGACACAGATATGATTAAGGGGATAAAAGGCTTTTACTTTGGTATTTATCGGGATCTCAGGTGTACAACTCGATGGAAAAATGCACGCTGCGTGTAGCAGGTATACAAGTTTTATAGATTTCACAAATTAGCATATCTGTCTAGAATTCCTCAGTAAGAATAACATAATTTTAAAAGAATTTTATTCTTATTAATAAATAAGAAATTTATTTATTCAGCAAATGAAGTAATATTTCTTTATTCTAAAGAATTTCCCCCTAGAATGAGGCTAGAGCTCAGTTTATACAATGTGTTCTAGAGAGGAAGCTTCAACCAAGGTTGGAGCCTCAAATCTGAGATAGCACAGGGCACRTTGGCCCYTTACTGAGGATGTTTGGTCTCTCTKCCCAGCAGAACCCCAAAACTGAGCTGGAATACCAGGTTACAAGAATTATAAGAATCTAGGCTAAGGGTACAAGTGGTACATAAAGAATACATTGGAAGGAAAGGCAAAAATCATCAGCCATCACAGGCAGTCCCTGATCAGTTTAATTCTTGTATTCTTTTATATTTTTTTGCAATAAAAATCCCTCTCAGGAGCCAAGTTCTGCCATTGGACTAGGCTCAGAGGATCTGTGCTAAAGGATGGGTCCTGTGTGTTTGGGACTTCTCCCTGTTAACATTTTGAGGTTATTATTAATTTCTACAGTTCCTCCCTCCTTTTCCTTTTTTTCTCTTGGAAGCTCAAGAGATGAAAGTGTAGGGAGTCTCCAGCAGTGGGGAGCTTGGAGYCTCCTCCTTTGGGAGGAATGTTTCCTGATTTTGGGAGGAAAATCTCCTGACTTTCCACTAAGGTCAAACAATTTTGCTTYGGCTCTCTGCAGCCCAAGACACAACTCCAGCAGTGCTCTGTGTAGGGAAAGAGCTGATGGAGAATCCTTACTCCGAGTCCTTTCCAAAGGTTTACTCCAGCCAGATTAATTTTGCTCTTGGCCACGTCCAGGTGTCTTCAGCCACCTGGGGACACTTGGAGAGATTCTGTGAGGGTCTCCAGCTCTCCAGGCAGTCCCTGACTCCATCTGAGGAACAAAGCCCTGACTCTTTCCATCCCCACTGCCRTGGGAAGGATGCTGGGCACAGAGATTAGCTCGAGCGCCGTCAGCATTTCCGCCCTCCTTATCTCCAGCCAGGGCTTCCAGGGGGAAGACACTGAAAAATGAGGTAAGGGATGACTTTGGACACGAGCTGTKGAAGCAGAGCAAGGAATTAACCCTCAACTCACTCCTCCAGGTGGAGCAGTGGCCATGCCACATGCACCAGCATCCTCCCAACCCTGTGATCCCTGCAGAGCAGAGTCAGGCTCCTGCTTGGAGGGAATCTTATCCCAGCTCCTGGAGATCCCTAGAGCACCATGGGGATTGKACACTCCTTTGACACCAAACCTGAGTATTTGTTGGACACTTCTCAGGAGGAGCTTTAGGCTGGGATTGACCGAATCTTTGCCATTGTCTGGAGCATAGCAGGAGCAGTCCTCTCCCTTCCCTGCAACGGGGTGGGCTCCCCTTCCTTTGGAAAAAACGCTGCCTTGGGAGGGGCTGGGTGGGAGGAGCAGCCTGTGTCCCCCAGGAGTTCGCTTCCCTTCTGAATGAAGCTYCTCTTGGAAAGAACTCAAGTGCCTTGTGTAAACAGCCGGGAGGTGGGACCGCTCCGGAGGAAGCACAGCGATAATTCTGAGGGGATTTTCGGGTGCTGCATGTGGGTTCACCCCTCTGGCCTCCCCGTGCCACTCCCTGCCCGTCTGCAGCTCCAAAAATACACCAGGGTCAGCCCCGGGAGCGCTGTGGCTCCTCAGCCTCCTGTCCACCAGCCGTGCATCAGCGAAGCCTCCCCGCCAGCGAGCTCAGCCCTTCCCCAAAAACCCCTTCTCATGGTCAGGGAAGATGGATGATGGCAGCTCCCTCCCCTGGGGGGCAGCTCAGCACATCTGGTGCAGCTGGAAGGGCCCAGCCCGCAGGTTGTGTGTGGTCAGAGTGATGGAGAGCGTGGGAAGAGGGACGGGATGGGAGGGATCYGTGAGGAGCTGCAGGGGACGTGGAGAGCGGTGTTCCTCATGTCATTCTTTCACAGAGCCCTCCAAGCAAGGCCCTCTCCCAGCTATTGGCACTCAGAGCCTTCAAGGTTTGGGAGGGATGTCCTTATTTTAATTAAAACCGAGCCTGCTGAGTGCAGGGGAAGTCTTAAATCAGGCCTCATCTCATGTCCAGAAACGTTGAGCATGTCAGGAAAAGCCCCACTCCAGCTGCAGGAGCCTCGGAGCAAATGTTGTTCAGCCTCTTTCCGGCTATTTTGGGTGGCAGCTTCTTCCCACGGAGAAAAATCCCCGCTCCCTTCCCCTTCCCCTCCGAGGGCTGAGGCTGCTGTGTGCTCTCAGGGTGGGATCAATCCCTGGAGCATCGCTCTGGCTCATCCTGCAGACGGCTGGCAGGACCCACGGGCAGGGGAAGCAATCACACCCYGAGGTTTTCCTGTCCCTTTGCTGCTGCTCTGCAGCTGCATTGCTCCCACCTTGCCTCCCCTCCTGCCAGGCATCTCCCAGGCATCTCAGGATCCGTTCTGACCATCCCAGGTTGTCCCGAAGGCACAAACTCATCCTGGGATATCTCCTGCTGCTTCCGCCTTTCCTTCTTCCCTGCGCTCCCGGTCCATGGCTTGTCCGTGTCCTGTCCTCTCCCTCTCCCTCTCCCTCTCCCTCTCCCTCTCCCTCTCCCCTCCCTCTCCTCTCCCTCTCCTCTCCCATCCCCAGCATCCCAGGGATCCAGGCTGCCTCTCCTCCTCATCCTCCCGCCGTGCCAGCATCCTCTGTGTCCCCGACAGTCCGTCTCCCCATCTGCCCTGGGATCGGGCTGACATTTGCTGCGCTAATTTCGGCCCCGGCGATCCACCCTCTTCCCTCCCCGTTGGTAAACAGCCTCGCTGCTCCGGCTGACGCCTGGCTCCGGGAGAGCTCCGCTTCCAGCTGCTCTGCAGTCCTGGATTGCTGCTGCTCAGCTGGTGCTTCCGTGCTCCAGTGGCTCCTGTAGGGTCTGGCCAGCGCTGCAGGAACAGAAACTGATGTTCTCTGGCAGCAAGATCCCCCTCCAGTTCCCATCCTCACACCCGATCAGCCCATGGYGATCCCRTGGGTCAGGAGAAGGTKGTGGATCCAGCTTCCACCCCATTTWGTCYGGGATGGGATTTTGAGTGTGGGAGCYGATAGTGGGAGGGTGGAGAGGTCATTCTGCTTCAAGAGCCTCCTGGCTGATGTTTCCCTTCCACTTGGTCCCTGCCTGGGAGGATTTCCCACGTTATACCCCAGATTCCTGCTCTGCGGCTTTTCGTCGGGGCAAAGTCCCCACGCGGAAATGGAATTTGTCCTCTCCTGCTCCTTGCAGTGGCACTGCCAGCCTGATGCCAGCCTGTCTGCTGTCACCCCTCTGAGATGTGGCTGGGGACTCTGTGATGGCAGCTTGTGATCCTCCTTCCCTCATTTTTTGGGTGTTTGCCTTTCTCCTTCGCTTTCCTTGTGCTCTCCAGGTTTTTCCCAGCCTGCCCTCACACTGCCAGGGCTCCTTTTTCTCCTCCTTCATCTCCATCCTGCTGTCTGTCAGCACCTCTCCCATCCCTTATGCTTTCATATCCCCAGCCAGGTCTTCTGGCTGGATCTCTCCCTCCTCACAGGRAAAGATTCCCAAGAAACCCTATTCCTGCCCACCTTCACATCAAATTCTGCTACAACTGCTGGGCCTGGCCCCATATCCTCCTCTTYCCCCAAAACCCAACCCCACCCACTTACAGAATTTGCATCCTCCGGGCTGGGTGGACAAATTTTGATTTTTTAAAGATAATTTAGTGGGTGCTTCCAAATAAATCCTCATAAGGATTGCTGCTCTCCTGGCCGAGGACATCAGGAATCTGTCAGCCCTGCAGTACCTTTGATCCCCCATCCATCATCCCTCACTTCCCGCCGTTATCTTTGTGGGACACTCTTCCGGTATTCAGCAAATATTTGATTTCCTGTGAATCTAAATAAAAAGACCTTTCCCCCCCCTTTTTTTTTTTTTAATCGATTTTAAAATACTTTTGGCACCGTGCGGTCGCATTCTGTTCCAAGGAAAATAAAGGAAAACTGTTCTGACTAAATATAGATCAAAAGGCACTTGTGAGCAGTTTCTGGCATCCCTGGCTGGGAGCACTCTCCTCTCGCAGCCCACCCAGGCTCTTTCCATCAGGCTTCTCCCAAAATTTTCTGTATTCCCTCCTCTGCCTCCCCTCGGTGTGGTGAGGATGCTGGGTTTGAAATATTTTGGAGTTTTTCAGCAGCGAGACCACGCTGTGCATATTTCTTCCTCTCCCTCTGGGGGCTTTTAACGCCCTTTTATTTTTGACTTTTTCTCGCACCACCCCTTGGAGCAGGTTGTGTTAATGGATTTTCCAGCTGAGTGAATCCTGGGATGCTCCGTGTCAGAGGTGCAGCCGTTGGCCAGAGCCAGCTGGACCACGCTCGGGTGGGATGTGGCCGCCAGCAGCGCGGCACTGYGGTCTCACACGGCCTCAAGGGCTGCCCGGAGAGTTCACATTGGATATCAGGGAGAATTCCTGATTGGAAGAGTGGTTAATTGTTGGAACAGGCTGCCCAGGGACGTGGTGGAGTCSCCATCCCTGGAAGTGCTCAAACAGCAAGCAGATTGACACTTCTCCAGGCAGTGGTGCTTGGTCAGAAGTCGGAGCTGATAATTTTGGGGGTGTTTTCCATCCTTGATGAGYCTGTGATTGCAGCTGGGTCCTCAYTCTGTKTTTTCCCACAGGTGTTTGTGCTGTGCCATGGGCTCTTGCAACTCTCCCAGCTCCTCTACAGCGCCAACTTCAAGAGCAGCCTCAGCACCATCGAGAAGCGCTTTGGGCTCTCCAGCCTCTCGTCRGGATTCATCTCCAGCCTGCACGAGGTACCTGGGAGGGGAGCACCCCATGGGTGGCCAGGATAGGGGGGGCACCTTCCCAAAATGGAGTCCCAGGGCTGGTCACACCCAGGGCTTCCTCAGCCYCTGTGGGYTGGAGGAGCAGCTGTGCTGKGCAGGGACACCTTCCACTGTCCCAGGGTGCTCCAGCCTGGCCTTGGACAYTKCCAGGRAYCCAGGGGCAGMCACAGCTTCTCTGGACAACTATGCCAGGGTCTCCCCACTCTCTCAGGGAGGAATTTMTTCCCAAAATCCCATCTAATCCTGCCCTCGGGCAGTTTAAAGCACATTGCCGAGCTGGCGGAGAATTTTTTCACAAACACTTTTTGATCAAGAAATCCCTTGGAATAAGTTTTTTCAGCCACCTTTTCAGGAATTCTGCCCCTCCTAGCAGCTCTTCAAGACCTGAAAAAGGCCTCTCTGCTGGCAGAGAGTTTTTTTCTGGCACCACATGGCAGCGCACTTGTCCGTGAGCTCCCTGGTGGGCACATGAGATGCTCCATCAAGAAGCTGGACACTGGATCTTTGGGGCAGTGGATGCCCAAGTCTCACCTCAACCAGCAAGAACATTTGGGATTAAAAAGATGTCTCAGGGCCCACTGTGACTGTGTGAGCTGCCTTGTCCAGCCAGGACAGCAATCCAATTGTGTTGGTGCCTGTGGCAATTTCGAGAACAAAACCCACAAAGAGACAAACAAGGGAGCCTACGCAAACAYAAATACAAAGTTCTCTTAGCCATACATAGAATCACAGCATGGTTTGGGCTGGAAGGGACCTTTAAAGGCCCTCTGGCCCAAACCCCWGCAATGAGCAGGGACARCATCACCATGCCAAAGTTAAAGTGATGTTTAGCTTGTCCCGGGCTGACAAAGCCCATGTGATGGCAATTTTGTGGTGTTCACCCCTCTCCTGAGCGAGCTGGGTGGTTTTGTGGCTTTTTAGCTGGTTGTGTCTGCAGCTGAAAATGTCCAGAGTCACAAATATTTGCAGTAAGCTGGGCTTTGTAGCAGGGCTCATGTCTGTTTGAGTCACAGCAATGGAAGTAACCTTGCTGGTTTTGGGACAATTGTCCATTTATGACACATYAGTCGATCTCTAATCCCAGGAGAAGAGGAAATGGCCCCACACTGTGCCAGGGGAGGTTTAGTTTGTATATGAGAGAAAATTTCTTCCCAGAAAAGGCTGTTCAGCCCTGGCACAGCTGCTCAGGGCAGTAGTGGAGTTCCCATCCCTGGAGGATGTGTAGATGTGGCACTTGGGGACATGGGCCAGTGGTAGCCCTGGCAGTGCTGGGGGRATGGTTGGACTCGATGGTCTCAGAGGGTTTTTGCAACCTGAAGGATCCTGTGATTGCTGGGGGATGGGGCACAGGGATGGGTGCTGAAGAATGCCCCATCCAGATCACAGGGAGGCGGCTGTGATGTCATTTGTGCCACCAAGGGATGCACATGAGTGGCCGAGGGTGAGGCCAAGGAGTGACCCTCTGGCCGGAGAGGAGAAGGGAGCTGTGAACGTGCAGGGCAGAGATGCTCCTGCTGCTGTGAGGGTGAAACAGCTCCTGCTGGGGACCTCTCCACCCCCCAGACACAGTCATGGGGTCTGGACGTCCTCCCTGATGTGCCCTCACGCTCCCTCTGTGCCTTTTCCAGATCGGCAACGTGGTGCTCATCGTSTTTGTCAGCTACTTCGGCAGCCGAGTGCACCGCCCTCGTGTCATCGGKGTCGGGGGGCTGCTGCTGGCGCTGGGCGCCTTCCTGGTCACCCTGCCACACTTCCTGTCGGGCCCCTACGAGTACAGCACCATCAGCACTGGTGAGTGCCACCAGCTGTGCCACCAGCTGTGCCCCACGGACACAGAGCCGCGCTCGGTTATGTGGGACTGCCCAAAAAACCCAGGCACACACCATTTAAACGGTGCCTGGAGGGAGGGAGGGAGGGACTGAAGGTGGGCAGCTGTTGATTAAACCTCATTCCATTATCGCTCTGGAACCCTTTCTGAAGGCAATTATGGGGTGTGGGCTTTCTGCTGCCTCTCCTGCACATGCTATTTCAGCTGTAGTGATGGAATYGTGGGATGGTTTGGGTTGGAAGGGACATTAAAGATCATCCAATTCCAAATCTTCATGGGCAGGGAYGCCTCCCACTAGAGCAGGGTGCTGCAAGTCTGTCCTTGGACACTTCCAGGGATGGGACAGCCAYTGCTTCTCTGAGAGAGAGTAGGTTTAGATCAGATATTGGGGAGAAATTGTTCCCTGTGAGGGTGGGGAGACACTGGCACAGTGTGCCCAGAGAAGCTGTGGCTGCCCCATCCCTGGMAGTGTCCAAGGACAGACTTGGAACAACCTGGGATAGTGGAAGGTGTCCTGCTGGAATTGSATGGTCCTTAGGGTCCCTTCCAACCCAAAGCAGTCAGGGATTCTGTGACAAAGCAGAGTTCTCCTGTCCCCAGGGCCTGTTCTGCTCTAGGCAGGATCCTCAGGATCCACACCAAGAAGGGGCTGCAGCTTTAACTGGGCAAGCTCTGGGAATGAGCTTGTGTGTGTGATGACAGCTCTGTGTTTCCATGCAGAGTGGGACAACAGGAGAACCTGTAGCACCTGTCACAAGGCTGGTTTCGTCTTCCCAAAGTGGTTTGGTCCCTAAATCCTCTGAATGCAGATGAGCCTCAGGCTCCATGGGGACGGTCACCTCTGAAACCCAGCTCTCTGCTGGTCCCCACCCTGTGATTTCTGAGTAGATCAGGCATCAGATGCCAAGTTTTCCAACAGCTTCAATTCATGYATGAGGCTAGGGACAGGTCAGGATTTGGGGCAGGGGCTGCTTTTACTGTGTAGGAAATGAGGAAGGAGCAGGTGGGGTGAATAGGTACAGGAACAAGGAAACGGGGCAGGAATTATGCACTGATCAAATACTGCTAATGCCCCAACTGATTCATGTACAACCATGGAAGTATAGCCAGAAATCACTGAAAAGGCTGAAGGAAAGTGYCAAGAGCTGTGTTTGACCCAAAAGTTCTGTACAGAGCACAATTCCTGCAGAATGCCTTTGCTAAACTGAACGGGRTTAGAGGATGGACTGCAAAAACAGATGGACAGGGCAGAGATAGTGCATTATGATTATTGCCTGGTGATGGAAAAGAACAAATTCGGGGTGTGAATAGCCCCTGAAGATACTGCAGTCCTGGCTGGAGTTTCCATGGCAATCTGGAGCAGGGTGAAGACCCCCCATGTCTGGGCTGTATGAAGAAGCAAGGCCTGTGTTTTGAGAGGAGCTGGGATGTTCCTGAGCCATGGGGGTAACGGAGATTCAGGGCAGGGTGTCCTGCCCCAGTGGGCATCACTGCCTGTTCCTGCCCAGGTACTACGAGGGAGCAGAGACAACAGACAGCAAAACCAGCTGTGGGTTAGGGCTGTCCTCACTAAACCCAGAGCACCCTCATACCACAAACTCCGTAAAAGTTTGATTAAAATCAATCAAAAGCCTGGTTGTTTGCTACTCTGACCTCAGTGTAATACTCCAAAGTGATGAGAACTGCTGAATGAAATGAGCAATCCATCCCAAATGCAGCAGTCTGTGCCTGTTCAAGTTTGGGAGACTCCTGCTATTTGGGGATTTAGTGTGGGAGGAGGCAGGGGATGTTCCTGGTGTCATGATGATCATTTTTCCCCCTTGCAGGTAACAAAAGCCAGGGGCACGTAGAGCTCTGCCATGCAGAGAACAGATTTGTGTGCCCAAACACCACCCGGGACCCCGAGAAGGAGGCCAGTGGCATGTGGGCCATGATGGTCATTGCCCAGCTGCTGGCTGGGATTGGGACCGTGCCCATCCAGCCCTTTGGGATATCCTACGTGGACGACTTTGCCGAGCCCAACAATTCCCCGCTCTATGTCGGTAAGCGGCACCATTCCCTGCACTGTTCTGTTTCATGGAATTCCTGGATGGTTTGGGGTGGAAGRGACCTGAAAKYTCATCCAGTCCCACYCCCTGCTGTGGTCAGGGACATCTCCCACTATCCCAGGGTGCTCCAAGCATCCTTGTCCTCGCTCTGCCATGAGGGATCACCATTCCAGCAAATTGTCCCACTGATCCCTTAGAATTCCCAGATCGGCAAGGAACATGAAGGAAAGAGGACTGCAGGAACCTGAAGGGTTCTGAGGAGGAAGGAAAGTGGGGCTGGTGTGTTGTGTGGTGCCTTTAGGGCTGTGGGAATGCCTGTCAGGGTGGATGCTCCAAGGGTCTGGGTTGCCCCAGTACAGCAGGAATTCAATCTCCCCACATCCCATTCCATTTTATGGCTGATGCAGCTCAAGCTCAYTGTCTTCTTTTGAACATCTTGAGGAGGTTGTGCTGAGAGTTTCTTCCAAGGAGGGAACTTGGATCCTGYCATGGCAAAGGAGTCAAAAGGAAACACTCTGATGTTATGGGTTATCTSTTTCGGAATGGGAGGGTTCAGCTGCACYCAGGTCATTCTRGYAGCCTTTTTACCCTCAGAATCTTTCACCTCCCCTGATGTTTGCACCGAATGTTTTCCCTTGGATCTGAGGATTAGGAAGGGTTTGTTTTCTTGGCATCCCAGAGGAAATGAAGGTCTCAATCACCAGCATGAGCCCAGGATGTCACTGTCCTGTAGCTCCCTGGGGTTCGTGAATATCGTGGATATTCACAGTGTAGCTTTTTGAGCAGAGGGGTTTTCTCCACAGGCAGCTGCCTTTCCCTTCCTGTTCCTGTCAGATAAACACCACCCTCAGTATTGGGGCAGTGGGACCTTCTCACCACCTGCAGCATGATGCAGGGTGTGTTGTACCACTATTCCTGCCTCTCCTGGGAAGACAGAAGACATACCTGCATGGAGAGCCCCATTCCCCGCTCACACAGGCTCTCTCTGCTCCCTTTCCCCAGCCATCCTCTTTTCTATCGCCGTGTTCGGCCCTGCCTTTGGGTACCTGCTGGGATCYGTGGTGCTGCGGCTCTTTGTGGATGTTGGAAGGGTTGGCTCTGGTGAGTATTGCTCGGGTAGAACGGTCCTAAACACCTTCTGGGGGTCAGAAGGTCACTGTGAGGTGAGAGGTAACAGAAGCCACCAGACCTGTGACCCATAAAGACCCTGGAAAGACCCAACCTGGAAAAGCACCTCTACTCCATCACACCGTGAGGATGGATACAGGTGGTCCTGACCCCACCACTGGAMCAGAGCCCTGGGACAGGGACATCCCAATGCCCAGCTCACAGTTGTGGCTGGGAGGAGGCCATGGGGTCTGCCCACTGCCACCACACTGAGGAGGTGTCACACAACCCCAGAGAGGAGCAGRGAGATCTGAGGAATGCAGGGGTGGAGAAGACAACAAAGGGAGCTTGAATCTGCTCATCCTCCTCCCCAGCACCCCTCACCAGCACCCGCAGAGAGAGGGGCCGAGCTGACGCCGCCACGGGCATAATTCGCTTTATTTCTGGTAACTTAATCACTCGAGAATTCTCTCCAGCTCCATCATTAGCGTGGCTTTTCCTGTGTTTCCTTAGAGAGATCAGAGCCTGCCTGACATTTTTGTCCGGTGCCTGATAAGAATAATAAATGMCGGTGGGCAGGAAGCGCCGAGGAGCCTTGGCCCACTCCCCGCGGCGGCAGACGCATTTAGCGGCCTCTGCCCGGTCGCTCCGTGATGATGTCCGAGCTCCAGAGTGGAGCAGTCCTGTTTGGGAAATGGGATGATTGTTCCAACGGGGTGTGGGCTCCTCTGCTGTCCCACCCTGGCACAGGGCTCCCCTGTGGGCAGCCATGGCCCCCACGCCATGCCAAGCCATGGCCCAAGGGTGTGTGTGCTGCAGACGGAGCGGATCTCGCCCTCTCCTCCTTTTTCCGGACACGGCGCCCGGGGTTGGGTCCACTCGGAAACTGCTCAAGGGCTCGTTGGGAGCTTCTGTCCCCACAGCTGGGACAATGGGACAGCAGCTCTTTCCAGGAAAGCAGCGTGCCCTTTCCCCGTGCCTTGGCTCAGCAGCCCTGACAGGCAGCACAGTCCAAACACATTGCGTTCTAGGCCCCTGAATCGCCGCCTCACTGAGGCAGAGCTGAGTTTGTGTCACCATTGTGCTTCCCTGCCGACCACATCCATCCTGGGAGTGCTTGGGATGAGTGGCAGTGCAGGGTCCTGGCTGGGGAMAGGAGGTCGAACACAACCAGGGCCTGTGGGAGCATCCACCTCCAGCCATTCCCTCCAGTGTGCCAGTGGAGACACCCTTGGGCTGTGCCCACAGGGACTCTGCACACTCCACCAGCCCACATTTCCATGGASATTTGTCCCTTTCACCACTGGAACTCTCACAGCGTGTCCCTGTGTCTTGCAATGGCAGTGGACCTGACGCCGAGTGACCAGCGCTGGATCGGGGCCTGGTGGCTGGGCCTGCTCATCTCCTCGGGCTGCCTGGTGCTCACCTCCATCCCATACTTCTTCTTCCCTCGGTACATGGTGAAAGGAGAGGTGAGATCTCATCTCCAGAGGCTGGAAYGTCCTGGARCCAGGGATGAGCTCAGGGARACAATACCTGTCCCCAGAGGARAGRGGTGGGAGGGARCCCAGCAACCCTTCCCATTAAAACAAAATTTAAAAGATGGAAAATAACTAACAGGTATCATTTTGGTGCTTTCAAAGCCAAGCCCTGCAGGTTTTGTTACAAAAATATTTCAGTTCTGTTTTGGAATTGTTTAATCATTGATTCTTTAAAGGCAAAATCCCAAAATATTTCAGTGTTGTGGCTGTTTCAGTGTTGTGGCTAAAGAACTCCCCAGGCTTGAGCTGAGCTGCCTCCAACTTCCATTTTCAGACCTTTTGCAGAGTTAAAAGAGAGGTCTCTTGTCAGGGTTCAGGAAAGGAAAGATTTCCAAGTTCTTAAAGCCAGCCACAAGCTGTTGTCGTGCTGCTCTGCTCAGGGGCTGCAGCGATGCTTGAGATAATTCCCCCTCTAATCACGGAATCCCAGAAGGGTTTGGGTGGGAAGGGACCTTAAAACCCATCCCATTCCACCCCTTCCATGGGCAGGGACACCTCCCACTGTCCCAGGTTGCTCCCAGCCCCATCCAACCTGTCCTTGGACACTGCCAGGGATCCAGGGGCAGTCACA